ATCAATCAATACCCCCACTCAATTAATCATACCTCCCCCCCCCACCTCCTCCCCCTCATCAATCAATACCCCACTTGATTAATCATACCCTCCCTCCCCCCCACTCCTCCCCCTCATCAATCAATACCCCCATCAATTAATCATACCCTCCCTCCCCCCCTCCCCACTCCATTAATCCCCCCCCATTCCCGTCAATTATCATCGTTGCCAACATCTGTTCGGCCCGCATTCCGCCGCGCCCCACCCTCCCCCTCCCCCCTCCCCCCCCCGCTCCCTCTCCTCTTCCACACACTCCTCCCCCCGCCCCCCCCCACACCCTCCCACAACATACCCTCCGCCATGACCATTAACATGGGCATGGCGCGGACTTGCCTCCCTTCACCTCAAGCTGATTGGGTGGAGGCACAGGTCCGCGCTGCATACCCACCGCCTGTGGGCGCTACCTCGTTGACCACCTGCCGTGCCATGGCCAAGGTCAAGCTCTACGCATGTCCGCCATCAGACTCGCCTGCTGGAAGGGACTACGACTGGGCTCCCACAGGTATGTCGGGTGTACTCGTCATCGTACGCATTCCTGGTATCAAGACACAAACTCCGTCTCAGCCAACATCCTCGTTGTTAGCCTCGTCGGCTCGTCTCCCTCCTGCCGCCCACTCTCGCACATCGCATGCGTCACAACTCGGCGAGGAAAATGGTCTTGTCGCGGGGAGCAGCTCGTCACGGCACTCGTTAAGAAGAAGGCGCAAGACAAGGCGCAAGTCGGCCGATGCGGTTGACGACGATGACGACGACTCATCGTCGTCTTCATCATCATACTCGGACTCCGGCTCGTCAGCGTCGGCAACATCAAGCTCAAGCTCGTCGCTCTCGTCACCAATGGATGAACCCGGCGCAGAGGGTGCGTACAAGTTTGTGCTTGTCAACCTTCGTCGCCACTTTTACGAGCGCGTCCGCGCTTCCGAAAACGCCTCCTACGGCCACCTGCACGGCTTCAAGCAGCAGACCTCGGAGCGGATGGCCCAGCTTGGCCCGGTCATCCTCTTTGACATCGAGCTCGAGGCTCCCTTCGAGTACTCGTCGTTTGGCCAGGACTTTCACGTCTACGACCCGCTTGGCTCCTCGCCGGTCTACGGCCTGCTCTTTGCACACACCGACGACGCCCGCACATGGCTCGCCCTCCTCGCAAACCTGGCAGACACCGCATTCGCCCCGCCGCCGCCCTCGCCGCCGCCCAACCTTGCCCTCGAGCAGCCACACTCGCCCCTGCTCCCGCCCACCCCGCCGCTAGTCCTCCCCGACTCGCCTGCTGGAGCGCTGACGCTCTCGCTCGCCGGTCCCGACTCGCCGCTCCCGCACCTCGCCCGCTCCCAATCCGGCTCGGTCACCGTCGCCGCCGAGGACTCGTTCTCCATGGCCTCCATGCTTGCTCCATCGCCGCTGGAAGAGCTCTTTCCAGCCTCGCGCGACTCGGAAGCCCTCCACGCCCTCGTCTTTGACCGCTCGCGCTGGAGCCGCCGCCGTGCAGCCGCTGCCGCCTCCCTCTCAGCCCCTTCGACCTCGGCTGCGGGCGGCAAGTACGGCCGCGGCACTGCGCCAGAATGGATCCTCCGCCACCCCGAGTGGCGCAAGTTCTACAACTCTATGGGCATCACCCAGGAGGAGATGAACGATCCGGTCATCGGTGCCATGCTTGTCGACCAGACCATGGACTACATCAGGGTCAAGGCAGTCGCCGCCGACGCCGCCGCTGCCGCAAACAAGCTTGGCATGCGCCGCCGCCAGCTCGCCGCCCCTCCCACTCCGCCGCCACCGTCCCCGGTCTCGCCGAGCCTACCCTCCCTCCCGCCGCGCCGTGTCCCGCCGCGCGCAGACGTCGACCTCCACAGGGAGCCCGCCCCGCCGCTGCCGGCCTCGCCCTCGGCCCGCTCAGCATCCAAGACCCTCCCGCGCAAGTTCCGCTTCTCACTCCATCGCCGCAACACGCTCTCCAACGCAGAAGAATTTCGTGCACGCAGCAAGGCCGACTCGCTCGCCACCGACGCCTCAGCGCTCAACAGGTCGACTTCGTCGGTCGCCTCGTCGCTTGCTGCCATGACCACGCCACCGCGCCTCTCTCTTGCCCCGCGCGCCCTCCTCCGCTCCTCTGAAGAACTACATTCGGACTCGCGTGAGCTGCAGGCTCGCATCGCTTCGCCGCCAAGACTTCCAGGCCGCTTGCGGTCCCTGGCCTCATCGCCGTCGTCAATGACGGACCTCACCGTCATCGTCGAGTCGGGTTCTGCCTCCGGCGACGCCGCAAACGACGACTCTCCCCGTCACCGACGTGCCCTTTCGGCAGGCGTTGACAATCTCTCGCCCACAGCCGCCTCCCCGCAACCGCCTCCGCCTTCTGAGGCACCTGACACCCTCGTCCACGCCTTTTCCGAGCCGTGCTTTACCGATGATGATGAAGACGATGCTGCCGTCGCTGCCGGCCAGACTCGCCGTGACAGAGATCGAAGTCCGACAGCCAGTTCTTCTCAGGCTCTGCCGCCGCCGCCCGCCGAAGCCAAGCCTGCCGACGACATTCTGCCGGTCTCTGCCATGTCAGAGGCCGACGCAGAGTCGCTCCGTCACCTCATGGAGCTGGAAATCCGCACAGCCCGCGAGCTCAAGGCCCGCCTCGGCTCGCCACTGGTTCGTGGCGACCGTGTCTTTGTTCGCCAGCCGCACCAACAGCGCGTCCGCATGCCGTCGCCGCTCTCTCCAGCCCGCGCCCTTGCCGTTGCTGCCTCCAATGCCTCGGGCTCGGCCTCTCTTCCAACCACCCCGCAGGCCTCGGCACGCACAGGCTCGTCAGCCGCTGCGCTCCTCGGCTCGTCACCGCCCTCCGCCGCCTCACCCGCTCCAACCCGGCTTCGCGCCCGGCGCGAGCGGACGCAGTCGGATCCGGTCCGCCCAGCCTGGCTCACCTCGCCGTCGGGCCCAGCTCCGCAAGCCTCACCCCTCATCGCCACCGTCGCGTCCAAGCCAGCCTACCCCTCGCCGCCATCTACGCCATCTACTGTCTCTTCGGTCTCGCGCTCCCGCTCGCCGTCTGGCACTTCGCGCCTTTTCATCGGCTCGCCGCAGCTTCCAGACCCGGCCCAGCTCGCCTACCTCCCGCACATCCGCCTTAAGGTTGTCCGCGGCCAAGACCGCAAGCTCCTTACTGTCGCCCGCACCGTCCAGCTCGCTGAGCTCTTCGCCAAACTCGGTGCAGAGTACGCCACCGTCATTCAAGAGTTCAAGTTCAAGGACGCCGAGGGCGACATGATCACCGTCCGCTCCTCATCAGACCTGCAGGAGGCTTTCCATGAGTACGACTTGCAAGCCCAAGCCAACCCGTCCCTCACTTCGTTCAAGATCTACCTCCCGCTCGACGCCACAACCTCGCAGCAGCAGCAGCCTGCCGCCGTCCGCCTCTCCAACATGAAGCGCTCGGTCTCGCGCGGCCAGCTCGTCGGCTCTGGCTCCGGCTCGGCCGGCTCGGGTCCCGGTGACCTCCACCGCCGCTTCTCGGCTGCACACCGCCTGGAGCGCCGCTCGGCCTCGACCTCAGACCTCTCGCTCTGGGCAGGCAAGTCGCGGTCGTCGTCGCGCGACTCACGCGGCCGCTCTGCCGTCCAGGACGGCAAGGCTCCCGTAGGCGACGAGCTTGTTTGGACCCCCGGTCGCTTGCTGGGCAAGGGCGCCTTTGGCAAGGTCATTCTCGGCGTTAACGCTCGCGACGGCTCGCTCATGGCTGTCAAGCAAATGCTTGTCGAAGGCTCGCAGGAGCAGACCGCACGCAACCTCGGCGCCGTCCAAAAGGAGATCGACATGCTCCGCCAGCTCTCCCACAAGCACATTGTCCAATACATCGGCGCCGACCTGCGTACCGAGCCGTCCAACGACGTTCAGCTCTGCATCCTCATGGAGTACGTGCCCGGCGGCTCGCTCGTCCAGCTCCTGCGCAAAGCCGGCGGCTCGCTCGAGGAAAACGTCGTCCGCCTCTACACCCGCCAGATCCTCGAAGGCCTGCGCTACCTCCACGCCGAGGGCATTGTTCACCGCGACGTCAAGGGCGCAAACATCCTCGTCTGCATGGAGCCGCAAGTCACTCTCAAGCTCTCAGACTTTGGTGCCTCACGCTCGCTCACCGAGCTGGCCTCGGACTCGTCAGACTGCAAGTCGCTCGTCGGTACCCCGCACTTTATGTCGCCCGAAGTCGTCCGCCAGCAGGCTATCACCACCCGCGCAGACATCTGGTCACTCGGCTGCACTGTCATTCAGATGATCACTGGTAAGCCACCCTGGGCCTCGTACTCGCCGCTCACCGCCCTCTTCAAGATCGGCTCCCCAAACTCGGAAGGCCCCGTCATCCCGCCCTACATGTCCGCCGCAGGCCGCCGCTTTCTCGCCGAGTGCTTTCAGGTTCTCGAGCAGCGCCCAGAGGCCGAGGACCTGCTTCACCACGAGTGGATCGTCTCAGAGTCGGGCTTCTCGCTCTTTGGCAGAGACTCGGACAGATGCTTCTCCGACGAGTACGAGTACGCCCACACCACGACCTGCAACGATGACCCCGCGCCCGGGCCCGACGATGACGATGGCTCGGCCTACTCGTACACTTCATCGACGTAGTTAACAAGGGTCTCCACGTAGTCACTTCATCACCACACGCCGTTGTTCAATCCTCCATATCCACTGCACACATTTCCTTCTCATACATCTGCGCTATTCGCATAACTTAGTAGTTGTGGAAGACGCTCTGATGTGTATAGGAGCAAACTAATGTTGTATGTATTGCATTGCGCATCGTACGAGAGGGACACGTCCTCAACGTCAGAAAAATGAGAGATCGCGCGTCACGTACGCAGCAACAGCCGCACTCAATCCTCTAATTACGGTGGGGTTTTGGCATTGAGCTAGACTTCTCGCTGTGATAACTTGGATTTATGCTACAGCTCGTGTTCTGGATTCTCATTGATGTGTGGCGTTGACTCGGGAGGGGGTGTGCGAGTATCAGGAGCGGACTCGGCAGAAGACGACGATGTGGGATCGGGAGCGGGAGTGGGAGGAACTGAGGCAGGTGGAGGAGGATTAGCCGGGATCGGGGATGGAGAGCTGTCGGATGGCGGGTGAGGTAGTTGAGTCAAGAGGGCGTCTGTCAGAGCCGAGATCCTGGCGTTGAGCGTGTGCAGCAGAAGCGACTCGGGCGAAGGTGGCGGCGGCGATGGTGGCGGTGGGGCCGGCGTCGGCTCCAGCGAGTCAGACTTGTGGAACGAGGGGTGCGGCGGAGGATGGCGCCGGCCCGGAGGCGGATGCGAGCGATCACCATGATCACTGTTCCCGGCTCCAAGAAGGTGGGGATGCTCGCCGGGGACGGCGGCGCGGGAGAAGAACTCGAACTTGGATCGGACGGACATGACCTCCTTGTCGAGGCGGTGGTACTCATCAAGCAACCGGTCAATTTCTGCAGAGAACATAGATCGGACAGTGCTTGCGAGGTCCGTACGAGCATTTGTGATCTCGAGCTTCATGTTCGACTCGATGTTCTGCAGAGCGAGGTGATGATCGTTCTCCATGGCGACGAGTCGAGCTTCAATTGCCCGTTCGAAATCAGCTTGTTGACCCTGCAGTTCCATGGGACGTGTGACGGCAGTCTTGATGAAGAAGTAGACAGCCGCCGTAGCAAACATGACTGTAACTGAGGTCATCACCTGGTTCCACCTGATGAACCCCCACCATGGCAGACCACCAGCGATTCCCAGTTGATGCTGGCCATGCTGACGAGTCGAGCTCGAGCCGGGTGACGACGAAGCCGGTGACGACGAAGCCATCGACGATGGCGATGACGATGGCGATGACAATGCCTCACACGATTGCAAAGGAGGCTGAGGAGGCTGAGGAGGAGGCGGAGGAGGTGGTGGTGGTGGTGGCGGAGGAGACAACGATGGTGGTGGCGATGGAGATGGAGATGGAGATGGAGATGGAGATGATACTTCTCCAGAATCGATGACAGTGCTTGTTATAGAGGTAGAGGTAGAGGTAGACGGGTGTGGTTGTGTGTCATGTTTGTGTGTGTGGTGGTGATGATGGTGGTATGCTCCGGTCTCGGCCATTCTCTGTCGAACACTGACCTCACAGGTGGTGGAGGAGGGGACAGGTGCAGATGGAGATGGGGGGGGGGAGGGTGGACCAA